AACACACACACACACACACAAGCCTGGTCTGTGCACACACGGGTGAGTGTTGTGTCGTGAACTGCAGTGTTTTGACACCGTGACTGGCTTTGTTCGGGCCTGTTCTCCGTGACTTCAGTCGCCGCGCATTTCTCTCGGTTTCTGACAACACGCGCTCGCCGACCCCCCAGGCTTCCTCCACGCACTCCCACCCAGACCACTGGGAGCGGCCCCACCAGCTTCCGGGGTCCCGCCACCTGGGGGTCCAGCACCCCAGTGACCGGAGCGGTTTTGGTTCCAAGAGAGAAAGGAACTCTGATGTCAGGGATGGAGGGAAGCTTCCGACGTGCCCTGGTCCCAGCCGGGCAGCCAGGCCCACCCGCGCACGCACAGCCTGGCTCTCCCAGGGCCTCGGGACAAGCCCATGACCGCCCCCGGGGCTGGTGTCTCCGGCGCCCAGTGGGGCTCCGGTTTCTTCAGCACCGCCAGCTTTGACATTTGTAACTCGAGCACCATTACTGTACATGCAATGAAAATACCACGTAAGACGACAAAGCCTTTGTACATATCTCCATGTACATATTTATATACTCACACGCGTTCCTGTTATTAGTACGTAAAGCATGACACGTCTAGTAGTTCAAGTTCGTGGTTTTTTAAATCCTGGAAAACGGCTTTGGAAACCTTTTCTCCCTCCCCCCTTTTCTATGTAATAAACACCACGTGACCTTGTTGGTGGCTTCTCCAACCTGCGTGCTCTCATGTTCATAAGCGACCGGATCGCGGACTGGCTCCCCAGGCTCCTCCCTCTGTCGGCTGCGTTGGCTGTCAGCGGCCTTTCCCTGGGGCGGCCTCGCCTTCCTCAGACCTTCTCACCCACACTCCTCTCCTCCCGGGAGGCTCTACAATTCCTCCTCCCAGGGCCATATCTTTGATAATCTGATCCCTTTGCAGCCGGAAATTTACACATTAAATTGGTCTCTGGGACGCACCTGGGTTTACCAAGAAGACGTGTGCAGATGAAACTCACGTCCTTGTCTTGGTTGTGCGAGGGGTTGGTGAGGCAAACGTGTGGACGTGCGCAGGGCAAGGTCTCCCACATCAATAAGGAGCAAGGAGAGAGTGACTGGAACTCGGAGCTAGAGGTTCAGCTACAACCCGGGACTGGCTGGCCCGGTGCTACCTTGGAGGGAATCGGCAGGGCACAGTCCATCGCCCAGCCAACACCTTCGGCTTCTTCATTTAAAAATATATTTTTATTGAGTTGTCAGGTGAAGGGAGAGGGAGAGAGAGATAGAAACAACGACCGCCCCCGGGGCTGGCGTCTCCGGCGCCCAGTGGGGCTCCGGTTTCTTCGGCACCGCCAGCTTTGACATTCGTAACTCGAGCACCATTACTGTACATGCAATGAAGACCGGGAATTGAACCGTGACCTCCTGGTTCTTAGGTTGACGCTCAACCACTGAGCCACAGCGGCCGGGCCAGCCAACATCTATAGAAACTGGGTGAAGACCTAGCAGCTCTCACACTCGTGGAGGAAGGGAACCAAGTCGATTAGAACAGATCAGAGTTCACAGCTCTCTCGCCAGACAGAGGCATCTCGCAGGTGAAATCCAGTAACTGACTCTGATGGTCACATGGAAGGGTGCTCGCTGCTCCTCACACCCAGGGTGTCATCCGACACCGTGGCGGGTGGCGGGTAATGGACAGCGCCTGATCGATGCATCGGAGCAGCGGGCCCATCAGCTCCAGGCGTGCTGGGGGCGACTCTCACCCCAGGGAAAGGCCCTGCCCCTTACTGTGGCCTCATGTGAGCCCTGGCCCAGCTCAAATCCAGGGTCAGACAAAACGGTGCCCTTGTTGGTTCTTCTCACACCGTCCCAGTGCCAGGTCCTCCCCTGCTTCCCTGTGATTCTGGGGGCGCCTGCCAATCATAGCCCCCTCCCCCGCCCCCAGGCCAAGAGCAGGGTCCTCTCGCAGAGTAACCTGCAGGGCGGGGCTTGGCTGAGAGCCTTATAGCTGCAGTCTGGGGGCAGCTGCTTGCTCCCCGGCCCGAGGCTGCAGTGCGGAGGCCTGCGCTGCCCAGGACCAAGGCCCGCCTCTCGGAGACAGGAGGCTGCAGTGAGACACGACACAGAGACAGCGGAGAGAGCCACGGAGCGGGAGTCACTCCCGTGGCCCCATGACCACGGCCACGGCCGCCTTGCCCGCCCCGGTTCAGTGCATAAGCCACCCATGGGCCTCCCTCCATCCCTGTCTTCCTCCCTTTCTCTCTCTCTCTCTCTTCCTTCCCATAAACTCGTTCAGGATGAGCTTCTCTCACTAACGACAATAACAGCAACGTCCTCACTGAGCCTCTGCCCCAAAGCCTCCTCTGACTCCCTCGCCCTTCACCGTCTCCCCACCGACCAAGGCCACAGTGAGACCCACACCGGGCTCTCGGCTGTGACCGTGTGCACACGCGCACATGCGCGCACGCCAGGCCTGGGCACACGTGTAACTGTCTTCCACGTGGGACGAGTGACGGGTGTGGCACTTACATGTGACACGATTTTATCCCGTCCACCCCGTCCTCCCACCTTCCCACCCCACCTGACCTCTCCTGTGACCAAGAATATTGGAGAGCAGCATTTAAAAAGTGTGGCTGTCACATGCACAATGATCTCAATTAAAAGTGTTAACAGAAAAGGTTCCAGTGGGGCTTACAGACACGCGCCCATCTTCTCCCGTCACCCCGACCGCGAGGCGAGGCAGAGCCGGGGACGCCGGGCGAGCTGGCCAGCACTTAGCCGGCTCCTGGGGGCTGGGAAGCTGAGCCTGAATCTCAGTCCCTACGTTTGCATCTCCTTCGAGCCCTCGTGAGAGCGGAACCTGAGTGTGGCGTTCCGAAGCCCCCGGGAATTCTCGGATTCTCAGCCCTCCTGGGAGGTTTATGCTCTCCCCCTGGCCGTCCCGGGAGCTCGCTCACCTGCCGGGAGGAGCGGTAGAAGTGGGTCCCTCACCTGCGGGAGGAGCAGCAGAAGCGGGTCCCTCACCTGCGGGAGGAGCAGTAGCAGCGGGTCACTCACCTGTACCGAGCGCACCTGCACCCGGCCCCTTCCCCACCTCCCACCTCCCACCTGACATGGGAAGCACGTTGTGCAGAATCCTCTGTAGGACAGAGGCAGGCTGCACACACG